GAGAGGGACTGGGGACAAGGGATGGAGGGACAGGACACAGGGAATGGCTTCAAACTGGCAGAGGATAAATTTAGGTGGGATATTGGAAAAGAACTCTTGGCTGGGAGGGTGGGGAGGCCCCGGCACAGGTTGCCCAGAGAAGCTGTGGCTGCCCCTGGATCCCTGGAAGTGTCCAAGGCCAGGTTGGACGGGGCTTGGAGTAACCTGGGCTGGTGGAAGGTGTCCCTGCCTATGGCAGGGGGTGGCACTGGAGGGGCTTTAAGGTCCTTCCCACCCAAACCACTCCAGGATTGTATGAAATGCTGTGTATGAAAAATTCAGGGCTCAGCTGACACTCAGACAATGAGACACCTCAAACATTTCATTCAGTAGTTGATTGAAAGAAAACCTTTTAAAATCCCCCAGAGCTGCTCTGCAGCTGGCCAGGATTTGATACCAAGATAAGTGAACACAACCTGCCCAGTTCCACTGGCCAAGGGGACCAGCACACACTGGGGCAAAAATTCATGATTTTTTGGTGTGAAATCTCAGGTTCTAGGATCAGTTAAACAGAAACAAGCACAGTGTTCACAAGTCTGACACTGCCCATCTTCCTTTACAGATCCCCTTTCAAGAGCTCTGAATAATGAAATTTACTGTTAGAACAGAACATTTTCAGAGAAGGGGAGGTGAACTTTCCTAATGCATAGAACAACCTTTGCAGAGGATTCTCAAGCATCTGAGGCAAAATCAGCAGCTGATCTTGTTACCAGCAGAATTTAATCGTCTGATGTGTGACAAAACCTGCAATACCTCACAATAATCAGCTTTATTTTAATTATTATTTTAAACAGCTCCAGGGAGATGTTGAAGCTGTTTAAACAGCCCTGTGTGGATAATTCTGAATTAAGACCACTCAAGTTCTGCAGTAACCAGATCCCACAAGGAGATGAGGCAGGTACAAACTGGATCTAAATCCACCTGGATTGAACAGGCACAGCCAGAACTCAGGTGTCACCAGAGGCTTTGGAACAGCTGGAGACAAAAAAAAATACCTTCCTTCTTGCAAAGCAGAACTCTGTGATTGAAACCAGACTCTGACATTTGAGAGCAGTCACATCCAAGGCCTGTGAAGATTCATTTCCTGACCCTCACCTGCACTTCACAATTACCCACCAGCTGCTCAAGGAACTGTGAAATCACCACAGAAAACCGTGGAAAATCCACTCCACAGCATCCAAAACACACTCAGTGCCTACACACACAACTCCTGAGCCTCAGAACCACGGCGTGGCAGGAGGAGAGGGGCAGAATCCAGGAGGATTATTCAGTTTCTTCCCTACCATGACATTTTTAGATGGCTTTGGGAGGTGATCACGTTTTGTACCACGAGGTTCAAGTATTTGTTCAATATTACTTGGGAGAAAAGAGTTTTACTTTTCCTGGATAACCACTGTTAATTATTTCTTTGCTATTTAAGCTTTTACCTCTGCTCCAATACTGTCCAGACATTAATCAGTGGCTCTTCCTTTCATGCTCTGCAGAAAACACCAGCTTAACACCCCCCCCAGCTGGAGTATCCACAGGATTCATGGAATGGGAAGGTCCTTTATCATGCCACACTCCTACCATCCACATTCACAGGCTTTACTCACATCTCTGGAGTCTTGGACTTGTTTTTCCCGTTGAAGAATTCGGGAAGCGCCCGACGTTCGATCACGTGGATGCTGCAACCAGAACAGCCTGTTAGATGGCAAACACAACAACCCTGCAGTGCCCTGCTCACCCCCAAAGAACACTCACAACAGGGGTTATTTGTGATCATTATTTTTTAGAAATCCCAGTACTCTGGAAATTTGATTTTGGCTGGTTCTGTTCAGGCCACTGAGCCAAGGGAACGGAGTTTGCCCGAGCTGGGAATCGATCCAACCCCTCCACCAACAGTTCCCAGACCACCTGAATCCACTGCTGTGACAAGTCACTTGTCACTTTTGGAAGTTGCACATGACTCCCAACACTCCAGTCACAGCTCATCTTTTCAGATTCCAGCCTGAACTCCCAGAGCCAAGACAAAGTGGGCGCTCAAGGAGAGCCTTCCAGACAAGTGACTGTTCCTTGCTGTGCTTCCAAAGTGCTCCCTAGGAGTTCAACTTCCAGAGGGACTTCCTTTCCCCATCACTCACTGCTCCTCCCACACCAGCAAGGTTTGAGTACAGAGAACACCAGGGTCGTGTGGGCACCCCCCCCCAAATCCCTGAGTCCAAGGAGGATTCCAAGGTGAAACAAGTGTCCTCCCTGTACAGCCCATGATTTATCCTCAAAGGCAAGTTCTGAAGCCAAATCAAAAGGCACTGGCTTTCAGAAGGAGATACAAACACAGATCACACAAGGACTAGAGAAGCAGGGAAGAGAAAGGAATTATCTTCCACACTGGGGGGGAAATCAGTGTAAAGCAAGAACTGCTGAGAAGGTAGACTGAGGGTCTCTGCTGTTTGAAATCTTCTTCCTCATTCCCAATCCCTGAAAACAGCCAGAAGTCACCTCAGGAAGGTTTTCAGAAGGAAAAGCTGCCCCCAGACATGGGAACCAGACCTAACCAACAGTTGTTTCCTTCAACTCTTGGCTTAATTTATGAAAAAAACCAACCACCCAAACCCTGAAGTTCCCCCCAGGTCCCCTCTTACCAGTTGTAGTCAAACCAGGATGCATAGCTGGGGATGATGATGTGGTTGGTCTGCTCTGTGACATTGTCCTCCCCCGGATCAATGGAGCGACTCTGGTCACCCTTGTTGGGATCTTCATCTTCCTGCAGCAGGGGGGGAACACAACGGTCAGGGCTTGCCAGAGACACCCCAACAGCTCTGGGACAGCAGAGCTGGTCCAAAACAAGAGCTTTCCAGTGCTGTACAGACTCTGTGACACTCCCAAGAGGAGGACAAGTCTTTGGTCACTCTGTTGCTTCACAACAGAGGCCTCCTGTGAACACCTGAGGTTCTACGACTCGAGTCCCAGCAAACGTTCAATTCCTGACCCAAAATGATGGAGAGAAGGGCACAGAAGTATAAAAAGAGGATCAGGCCATGACACTGCACGTACAAAACCCTCAGGGGTTGTTTGAAGAGCACGTGGGTAACTCAACATTAAAAATAACCCAGTCCCTGAAGCAAGACCCCAAAGAGCCCCTGGTATCAATAACAGACCTTTATCTGGGATTAAATTCCCCCAAAGACAACAAGGTAGCACTCTAAACATACCCAGTGACCTGACAACAGCAAGCTGGTACAAGAGTGCCACAAATGCAATTCAGTACAGAAACTACTCCTGCAACTCTATTAAGATGATCAGGGAGCCCAACCTGGGGTTAGATTTAGTCCTAAAACCTAAAGAAAAAGCAAAAGCTTTGAAAAGCCTCTGGTCTGAAAAATGCTTCTCCAAAAATACTTGGCATCTGTCTCCTCATTGTCCTTTTTAATAGACTAGATTTAAAATGACAAAGTAATCCCACAACCAGATTTAAAAATACAAAGTAACCCCACATAATTTCAAGAATTTTTATAATAACGGAAACATTCCCATCAGTAACTAATTTAATCTTACAGATCACTTGATAATCATCAGTTACTGAAGGTGAGATTAAGACCTTGACAGGCCAAGGGGGAATGGCTTCCCACTGCCAGAGGGCAGGGTTAGATGGGATATTGGGAAGGAATTCCTGGCTGGGAGGGAGGGGAGGCCCTGGCACAGGGTGCCCAGAGAAGCTGTGGCTGCCCCTGGATCCCTGGGAGTGTCCAAGGCCAGGTTGGAGCAACCTGGGCTAGTGGAAGGTGTCCCTGCCCATGGCAGGGGTGGCACTGGATGGGCTCTGAGGTCCTTTCCCACCCAACCCAGGCTGGGACTCTCTGATCTCAGTTCCTGTGAAGTTCACAACAGAGAGCTGCTGTTACCTTTCCTCCAGTGGCCACTGTCTCCTCGTCCTGTTCATCTGAAAGGTAAAAACATTCAGCATTACACCAATAAAAACCACCTGAGTGCTCAGGAGCCTCCCCAGCAACACAAAAGCTTAGTTGGAAAGAACATTTAATTTATTTTGGATGGGAAATGAGGAGGGAAGGAAAGTGGATCACACATCACTAAAGCAATGACATCCTCACTCACCTGTCCCAGCCCAGGGAACAGTAAGAATACAAAGGAAGGACAATGATGATTTTCCCTCACTCCAGAATCCCTATTTAATTACCACCCTTCCCAGTGCCCCAGGTGAGCCCTGTGTTACAGGATGTGGGACACCAGTGTGGATCTCTTATGTCAAGGCTTAGCAGAGCTCAGGGAACCTGTGATTCACCTTGAGTCCCAGTAAAGACAAGGAAAAGAGTTAGAAAAGAGCTTCTATGTCATATTAAAAAATAAGAGTAAGAACAGTCTGCGAAGGAAGAGCCTTGCAAGTGAAAAAAAGAGCTGACACACTTCAACCAGAATACACATGAAAACTGAATTAATTCAACAAAACAGTAGAATTAGAGACTGCTTTGAAAATGGAGAGACTTGAGACTCTGGGCTGTGCTGGGCTCCCAGCAGGGCTGTGACACTCGGGGTGCTGAGGGGCTTTACCCAGGTCTGCCACGGTGCCTCCCTTCACCGGCGTGTTCTCACTGTCCTTCTTGGGGTTCACTGCAGAGGCAAAACGACCTGGTGAGAGCACAGCAGGAGGAGAAAGGATCCCATGCAGCACATCTCCCTGTCCCACCCACAGACACTCTGCTGGCCGTGTCCCTGCAGCTCAAACCGTTCCTGTGTGAGCTGGAGCACGAGGGCCCCTCGGACTGCCCTGAATTCCCAGCTGGACACAAACCCCCTTCTATCCAGGGGCTGACCCTGCACTTTGCCACCTGCTCAACACCCAGTTCACACCAAGGAAAACCCAAATGGAGCCACTCCCAAAACGGCCTGGTGTCAAGGACTGCAGAAGGAATCATTTTTCTGGCTTCTCTTCATTTAACAGGTCTTGCCCAGATCAGGTGTTGCCCAGATCAACCCTTCCCTGGGAAGGATTAACAGCTCAAAGCACTTGACACGTTGCAGAGTTTCCAGTTATTTAACATCCTTCTCTTGGGGACTTGGCAGAGAAATATTTTCACTCCAGAAAACTGCACACGCCCTCCCCAAACACCAACAAATCCAAAAAAAAGTGAAATGAAATGTTTAAGTAGATTTCTGTAAATGCATTTTAAAAAGTGTATTTTGTAAATGCATTTGAAAAAGTGTATTTTGTAAATGTATTTTTGTACTTTAGAAGGCCAAAGGAAGGTGAGTTTGTTGCCCTTCCCAGCTGTCACATCCCTGACTAGACAAATTTGGATGGGATCAGATCACCTGGCCCCATGGCCACAAAGTATTTCAAAGATTTGACAAAATATATGTGTATTTTTTATGCAGTTTAAGCCACGTTTTAACATTCAAAGAATCCAGTGTTTGCATATTTTACCATTTTTGGGAAGTACCACTTCTTCTATGTTGGGGACTGGTGTGGGATCCTCCATGTCCTTGGTAAGATCTTCCTGTTCATCCTCTTCTTTCTGCCCCCTCCTTTTCCCATACAAAGCTGCTTGCCTGGAACAGAGCAGACACAGGTTCTCTGCCAGATGTTCTCACCTGGACACTGCTCACACACCAGGATTAAAGGATGGGCCCAAACCCTTCTGAAATCCCCGTGGGAACCAAGGCAGAGCCACCCACACCTCTCCCTGCAGGACCTAACTCAGGATCTACACTGGAACAAGAAGTAATTCAGGTTATCCACTCATTCTTTCTTGGATGATAATTTTCCAGCTTTGTCTTATTAGAGCCCAGCAGGTCTATGAACAAGACCTGCATTTTTAGCTCAGAATTGCTCCCCTCCATATCCACACATAAAGCCCAACAAATAAGCTTTTATTTGGGTAGAATATGGGATTTTCTTCCTTTTAGGAGATCAAACTAAACCACTGATAACCCCCCTAATCTTTAAGCCACAAACGTCTCTCTGTTAAGGTTTACATGTGAGAAGTGGACTTCAAAGTACTTGACTATATCAATAAAAATCTCCTTAATTAAATGCAGGAATTTCTGGGGCTGAACTCAAGAACTGTGCACGCACCCCAGAGTGCCCCGACACAGCCAGTGTGGGTTGGTTTGGAAGCAGCTGAGCAACTTCTCCTTTAATTTCCACTCTTGAGCTGCCATGAAACCCTGTCCCTGACACAGGCAAAGGACAACCTGCCCCAGGTCCTCCCCCCCCTGCAGCCAACACATTCCTGCAGAGGAGTGAGGGAATCACACCCAATGCACAGGGAAAACCACCCAATTCCACTGTGGAAACAACGAGGGTGCCCTTGGGTGAGAGAGCTGGAAGGTGCCAGAGATCTCCCCAGGAGCGTTTCTGGGAAGCTCCTCTCCAGTTCCAGGGCTCACACACTCACCCTTTCTTCCCTGTCTTCTTCCTGGACTCCACAGGGGTGGGGGGTGGAGAAGGGGAATGTTTTCTCTTCCTTGTGCTGGCAGCTGCTTTCCTGTCCCTCCTCTCTGGACTCCGCACGGGCTGTGGAGAAGGGGAGCAGTGAGTTCATCCCAAAGATCAGGTACTGCTGTGCTGCAGGTTAAACTCCTCCTTCATCCATCCCACAGCAGGAGCTAAAAGCAGTGACATCCCAACACACACCAGGAGAGATTCCAGTCCCTCTCCAGCTCTCCTGGAGCCCCTTTAGGCCCTGGAAGGAGCTCTCAGGTCTCCCTGGAGCCTTCTCTTCTCCAGTGAACCCCCCCAGCTCTATCCATGCAGGGATAAAGAACACCAGTGGATGCACAGTTGGATGCACAGCTCCTCAACCACCCACCTCTTCATTTTTCATGGAGATTCTCTGGCGGAAACTCACGGATTTCCTGTTCTCATCCACCTCATAATCCTCCTCGTTCATCCACTCGTTGAACACGTCTGTGTCCAAAATCCACTTGGCATGGACCTGAGCAACAGAAGACAGGGACATGCAGATGCTCTGTAAACAAAGCACTTCATGGCAGACCTTTCCCTGCAGGATTAAGGACATTCTTGGAGCTTCATGAGGGTCTGAACACCCAAATTGTCTCCTAGTGGTTTTACACACAGTCATGAGAATTTCATGAGGCAGGACAACACGACCAAGCCTAGAACACAATCTCTGCTCCTCAACCATTCTTAAGCCTCCTGAAATGTGAGGGCAGTTCTCAGAGCTGGGACAGCAGCTCTGGATGCTGAAAATTACCATCAAAATCTTCTAAATACACAGATCACCTGAGCAGATGTGCCACAAACATCAGTAAAAGTAAGGAGAATTGGGCATATCTTGATTTAAAATATCCATCTTCAAATAAAGTTTAGCTTAAGAACTAAAAAACTTCTTGAGCTTCAGAGTAATTGATACAATTTATTATTGATTTATTAATATCTTACACAATTATATCTTAGTATTCATGGCAGATTTATACTCAAAAAGAGTGTTTTCCAGTTAGTTACCAATTACTACTTGGAGTAAGTGGTGTTTGAACAGACCCCAAGTTATTTTCAGGCCTGAGCTGCTCTGACTCTGTGGGGATGAGCAGCACACCCAGAACTCTGTGTAAGGCCAACAACAGAATAAAACCAGGAATTCTGGGAGCTGTTGAGGGACACCCACCTTCCATGGCTTCTCAGGAATTGGAGGGTCCTCAATCTCAGCATCTATTTCATTGGCATGAACCCAGGTGTCGTAGCTGAGGAGAGAGGGGAGAGAGAACAACCTTTGGTGCCTGGGCTGCTCCTGCCCAGGGACCAGCAGCAGGGAGTGGGGAGCCAGCAGTGGGACATGTCAGACCCCAGGGCTGGGACAGCAGAGTGTTTTCCACAGGGAACAATCCCTGCTGCCACAGGAACAGGACACAGGGCAGAGGGAGGGAGCCAAGGCATCTTGTGCACCCCAATTTCAAACCCATGCCCGTGGACCAGGTTAAAACCATAAATCTGGAGAGATCCAGGTGTGCTAAGGCAGTTCTGAGGCCCTGATCAAACCCTGGAATTAACTTAACTCACTTTGTTCTGTTCTTAGGAGTGTAAAGCAAGAGCTGCTGGATTCCTGGAAGGAAGGAGTCTGCACCCTCTCCTTCTGGAAACCATTTATTATTGACATTCCCTTTTCCCCATGCTATTCCCTCATTTTTCCACACGCTGTTCCCTCCAAAGTCTATTTACTATTGCTACACTGAGCAAAAGCCAAAACACTTTGTAATCAACACCAGGCACCTAATGAGGAACTGGGGCAAGTCATGTGCATGGCAAGATGTGTAGAATTCCTCGTGTTTATACCTGCATTTATAAACACACACAGAATCAACACAAAATCTGCCACTGATATAAAAACATCTAAAGGTTCTTCATCTGTATGGAGAAAGAAACTTCAGTGTGACTGTTGTTTGTTCTCTTCCACTGAAAACACTCATGGGAAATATGGTTCCTGGGAATTCTGTGTGTGCACAGCAGATTCTGGTAGCCTGAAAAGGTTATTTAAATTGAGGTCGATGCTGGGCTATCAATCTTTTGATTCATCTTCCACAAGCGGTTCTTGCAAATACACTGAAGGTCCCAACAGCACATCCACTGTATTTTAACACCTCCCAACAACACCAGCTCTCTCCAGTGGAAGCTTTAACAGCCACTTGCACCTGGCTGAAGGCAACCCATGGAGTGAAACCTCTTTGCCAGAGTTCAACCAGAAGCTCTCCCTTGAAGCTGAAAGGCTCATTCCACCCTTTGAAATCTGGATCGATTTGCAACCAGTTACTTGTGGCTTTGCAGAAAACCCCTCTCCTTTCCACCCCCACCTGCCAGTGCCACCACTGGATGTGCACATTTCAGTTGTAAATCAGTGGTTATTTTCAAGCTTTGGACGTTGAGATCAGGACTTTGCCTTCAACAAACTGAATTAAGACTTGGAATCTGCTTTCTTGCCCCACCTTCCCTTACCTGTCTGGGAAGAAGCCCCAGTGTACCAGCACCTGCTTGTCTTTCTTCATCACAGGTCTCAACCATTCATCTGCCAAGGAAAGAGATCCGGGTCACATTTGGATTAACAGCACATTATTTCACTTTTCCATGCTCTGGATATTTCTGACTCCATGAACCTGAAGTGGTTAAAGACAAACACAAACCCGTGGCTGGGCAGGGAGCTGCCAGCACAGAGCAGCTCCAGAGGACACACAGTCCTGCAAACAGCAGGGACACTTCCATCTAGTGGCCAGCACAGGCCAGGGAGGATGGAAAAAGGGGGTTTATGGCTGTGAAACTCAGACTCAACAACAACAATCCAAAAGGCAACTAAATGGAGTCAAGATTTAAAAAAATCAGAGCAGTTTTTTGCTGTTTGCTGAAGGATGCAGCTGTTAAATTATGGGTTTTTTTTGACCTTAAGTACTTCCAACAGAGGCAGAGTGAACTGTATTACAGCCAACAACCATCCACCAGCCTGCCTCCTTACTGCAGCCACTCTGCCAACCACACACAGTGATGTGCATCAGCATTCCCAAAAGAATTCCTGGACAGACAGGAACACACAGGCATGGAATTGTTGGGGCTGGAAAAGCCCCCCGAGACCATGGAGTCCAACCATCCCCTGACCATGTCCCCAAGTGCCACATCCCCAGGGCTCTGAAATCCCTCCAGGGATGGGGATTCCACCCCTGCCCTGGGGCTGGACAGCCCTTTCCAGGAGGAATTTTCCCAGTATCCAACCTGACCCTCCCCTGGCACAGCATTATCCATGAGCTGGTGGGTGGCTCTCAGGAGCAGGCTGGGCACACCCTGACTGTGTGAACACCCCACTGCTCACGGAATTCAGTCACAAGACATTCCCACTGCCAAACTGGGAAGGGCCTTTACCATCATCCATTGAGGTAGGACTGGGATAAACATGGTGGGTGGCCTTGGATTTCTCTTCAGTGACTGTTCCCTGGGGGAAGAAAGAAACCACGTGAGAAACCCTGAACACATCACCCCAAACTCCTCGGCTGCTGCTTCCTCCCCACCTCCCACAGAACCAGGGACAGGAACAGCATCTGCAGCAGCACAGAGGACAAACCTCTCCCTGTAATCCCAGAGATCCCAGGGCTGGGACAAGGGACATGGAATTCCTCTGCACGGGCTGCAACAAGGACTTGGGATGGCAGGAGGAGGGAGCCACAGGTACTGGGGGTGGAGTACAGGAGACATGACAGCAATGGCTTAAATAAATGAAAATAATCAAGATAGTGAGAAGCAAAGCTGGCAACAAGATGAGAATTCAGAGGCAGAGCAAAGGAAAAAAAGCCCAAAAAGCAGAACCAGGGACAATTTCTGTCTTCAGCTCTTCACACCCCTTCAGACACAAAGCTGCCTGCTTTAAAAATCCCTTAAATCACTCCTGGATACAGCAAGCCTTGAGCTCACCACAGAACTCCTTTGGGAAAGAATTCCTTTATAACAGGAAAACTGACTCATTAACTCTAATTTAAGCAACAGATAACATTCCAAATCAGCCAAATAGTTACAAGTAACTTGTGAAAAAACACCCAACTGAAGCTGATATGATGGTTCATAATCATAACACAGGAAATACATTTAATCTGGGAAAGAAACCATTGGGCTGCAGCTCTGCATGATCCTGACACAAAAGGCCACCAGACCATCCAGAGGTCACATTCCAGGTATTTCTCTCGAGACAAGTGAAAATACTGTTTACATTTTCGAGAGATGAAGTCATTAAATCTTGTTCAGATCATTATTTAGTATATTAAATTACAATGGCAACACGTTGGCTCTCAGAAATACACTGCCCACCTGTTCAGCACAGACAACAAAGAAGTGAAATAAAGCAAAAAATCACAATGATTTCCAAGTTCCTCCTGCTGTGCCCACACGTGTGGAAGAGCTGTATCACACCCTGCCTTCTCCAGGCTCAGCTCTGGCCCAGCTCCTGCTCTCTCTGCACAAGAACTGAACAATAAATCAGCTGTGGCTGCACCCACCTCACCCAGAAGCACCTTCCCCTCCAGCAGCAGGTCCAGGTTCACTTCCAGAGCAGAGGTGGGTTTTGTACAGGTGACCTGGTGCTGCTGCCTCGTGCCATCAGACACAGTCCAGATGGAACTCCCGGGCTCAGGGTGGGCAGAGATGTTTTCCCTGGAAGCCCTGGTTGAGGATCTGCTGCCCCACACTCACCTGGTGCCGTTTGACAATGTCCTTCAGTTTGTTTGCCAGCTTCAGCTCAATGTCAGGAATGAGGTAGATGGTTGGTCTGCTCAGACAGTTGTTCTGGGGGACAGAACAGCACGTCAAATGAGGAGTTAGGAGGTGATTTGTGACAAAAATCATAACATTCCTATTAAAATCCCCAAGGCTTGAAGCTCCAAAGGAGCACGGGTCAGGTGGTGACACAGCTCACCAACTCCAGCTCCAGGAACCCCCAGTATTCCCTTCACACACCTCCCCAGCAGAGCCCTCCCAGGGTTTGTGTCTGGATCTGCTGTGAGCTCTCCCAGACCTTCACCCCACGGGGCTGTTCCCCCTCCTGTTCCACAACATCCTGAGCACAAACCACGGCTCTGATGGCAAGGAATTCCTGACAGCCTGTGGGGGACTTCAAAGGGAATTTGAGTCTCCCAGTGTCAGCTTCCAGTTTGGGATCTGCCCTGCAGCACTGACATGCACAGTCACTCACTGCCACAGCACTGAGGGACTCACTAATCAAACCTGCAGTTTTCATTTTTACTCTGTTATGCACTGAAACCACCCCAACGACAGCAAGAGGTTTTCATACTGAGAGTATTGTGGCTTTTTGCTGTCCCTTCCTCCTATCTCCACTCCTGACAAGCTCCTGAAAGTCATGTTTTGACTCTATTATACACTGAGCTTGGCTTTAGAGTTTGAAAAAAAGTAATATATTGTTCACATGCGGGAGTTAAAAAAAATTAATTTCAAATAAGCCTCCACAGAGCTGCTTAATGGATATAGATAATAACTCATTTGATAAAATGAGACTCTCAAATGTTTCCTAACCTGAGAACAGTCAAATTTAGATCAAAATAAAAGTCTCAGGAGTGAGCCATGGAATGGGTGTGTACAGAACCAGCTCCTCAGCCCCAAGGGTGGGACATGGGGACACTCAGGATGTTTTCTCCCACCTCACAACAGGTTTCCCTCACCCTCTGCATATCCAGAGTACAGACGAAAATACCCCGAACTTTCCAAGTGAGAACATGGAATTGTGACTGAAATGGGTGGGAGAGGGAGAGAAGAGCCCAATATTCCCACAGAAGTCCAGGATGAAACCCCTCCCTGGGTCGTGAGGCACATAAAGCCCAGGGAGAGCCTGCCCTGAGCCTGTGGGGTGGGGCTGGGAGCTCCTTGCCTGCACTAGTGTTTTCTCAATGGTCATGAACATCTCCACGTTCCGATCCATCCGCGAGGGATTCTGCAGGTCAAACCTCCTCCTGGGAAGGGAAAGGATTCAAAAATGTTGAGTTCCACTCCCCACCCTGCAGCAGTCAAGAATCTTTCCCGTTGCACACAAACAGTGGCTGGTGGAGCGACGTGAGGACGCTCAGAGCACAACCACACCTATCTGTGCTTCACTGGGCAGCCCCTCACGAGCCAGGAAAACCACAAGGAACCAAATCAACAAAATGCAGCTGATTTGTGAAATGTTTGGGGGGGGGGAAGGCAGGTTGACATTGTCCAACAAAGCCCTGGAGCAGGGCCGTGCATTCCAGCACAGCCACAGGGGATCCCTGGACACTCGGGATCACGATGGATTCCAACAGCTATGTGGGAAAAGCCATGGATGAGCTCTCATGTTTCTCTTACTTCCAGCTGCACCCATCCACCTGTCCTGGGAATGCAGGAAAAGCAGCAACTCCTCTGCCTGATGTGAGAACAAACCACCCCCCCAGAGCACAGGGAGCTCATAATCCACGGGAGCATTTTCTCATCGCTTTTGTTGGACTCTGGGACTTCAAACTTTGTTATTTCACAGACAAACAGTCAAAACTGCTGCAGTAAAGATGGAGGTTTGTCCATGAGAAATGGGGGGATAACACAAAATCTGAGGCTTCCTACTGGGAAGCACCACAGGACCCCCCAAATCCATCCTGCTGTACCCACCTGGACGTGTGCACACGTTTGGAATCCACGGATGGATGGACTCAAAGGAAGGATTTGAGTGGAGACTTCCAAGAACATGAGAGGTGGGACAACCCCAGCACCCTCACCATGGTCAGCACTCCCAAGGGGGCTCAGCACAGACCTGGGGCTGACCCTTCACAACCCAGCCTTTCCCAAAGCACCAGGATCACTTCAGATCACCAGGCTGGTGACTCTGAGATGTAAAACACGACCTGCTGCACCTCCCAGGGTTTGGGAAAAGCTGTTGCTGGAGCCTGCAAACGCCACCTGGGTGCTGAGGTGGTGTCAGAAGGGACCTTAGGGTGAAATAAAATCCCCTGGGCACATTTAACATGGTGAAACAGCCGTGCACACCCCCCCATGCAGGGACTGCCAGGCTCCAAGTGCCCACCCCAGCCTAAAACACACATTTATCCGACATCTACTGACAGTTCCTTACAAACACATCCCTGTTTCCAGTAACAGATCCATTTTCAGGTTGATAAACACTCAGTGCAGGTAAAGGACGGTGAGTTTTCAGCCCCAAACCCCGTTAGCAGGAGGGCAGCACAGCAAGGACACACCACAACACTAAACAAAGACCCTTCAGCTGAGCCCACCACGTTCTCCTGCCCTGGAGGCTCCCTGGGCTGTCCAGGAGGGAGGTGCCCAGGCAGGGGGTTCTGCAGGAACAGCCACCAGCAGGGAGGGATGGATTGTCTCCTAAATCAGGGGCTCTTCCCTTCACACCAAGGGCATGGCAAGCTGAACACAATATCCTGGCAGATTTGTCAGAATCACCCCTTTTCAGAGGAATTTATGAGTGGTTTAAGCAGCGTTGTGCACGTGGAGAAGCTCACAGTGACTTGCAGAAGAAGGGCCAGACATCAGGGCTGTCAGGTCACTGCACAACACAGCTTAATAAAGGATTTTAGGGGCAAGATCGAGCCACTTCTCTGTTATTCAGCCACGGTTTGTATCCAAAACACACAGAATGGTTTCATGGAAATGAAGGGAAATAAATAAACACAAACTGACCCAAATACCCAATGAACTCTTGGTACCTGTGAGACAAAACCACTCAGGGCATGGAAGTTTGACCAAAAACTTTTTACATCTGTTGCTCCAAACCTGCACTGTGCACTCACAGAATGCCCCCAAATTCCTGCTTTTCAAACCCCCACTTTGAGAGAAGCGTGTTGATATATTAATTAACAGCATCATTTTTAGCTGCCCCTTGGGATCAAATAGCACCAATTCCTCCTGTCCTCAGCTTAAGTGATTCCCTCTGCCAGGTTCTAGCAAACAGCTTGGGTTGCAGTGAGGGACAAGGTATGTCAGCTGGCAGACATACCTATTATGGCGAGGAAAGGTACTTCTCCTATAAGACAGATCATTCACAAACAGGTTAAGCAAGAGCGACAATGCAGACCGTTCAAAAATCAAATCAAAATCAGAGTTCAGGCAAAAACACCACGTATTATTTGGTTGAGTCAGTGAGGGACACATTCCAAGCTCTAGGTCTGATCCTGAGAGTTAAGTTCCAGGATTACTTCCCTCTACAGTCCCACATGCACAGACACAAGGCACTACCCACACTAGTTGTGAGGGGGCAGCGAGGGAGGGAGGAGGGAGGAGGGAACCACGTGGCTGAGCTCTGCTGGCAAATCTGTGACTGAAAACTAGACCTGCACGGTGAAAAATGGAGTATTGGAACATCCATGAAGCGGGAACCACTTAACTCCTTTGTTTTGAGGCAAAGAGGGCAGCGAGACAGACTGGCACACCCCAGACAAACAGGGGCCATGGCCCAGGGGGGGCAAAACTGGAGAAGGAAAATCCCTGAAAGGAGCCTATTCCTGATACACCCACCTCAGACAGAGCTGATATGAGTATAAACAGCCCCTAAAATCGACCAGCCATCCTAAAACAGCTTTATTTTGCCTTTTAATTGGCTCTTGTGTATAACAGCAACACAGGCTCAATTCCAGGAATGCTGTCACAGATCAGAAACATCAGATTCACACACAAAAAACCAATCTCTGCTTACTTTTACTGATTTGTTTATATTTATTGACTTCTCATCCTGGTTTTTTCCCCCTCAGTGTTCTCAGATACAGTAATTCCAAGGGCAGGTTGGACAGGGCTTGGAGCCACCTGGTCTATGGAAGGGGGTGGGACTGGATGGGCTTTGAGGTCCCTTCCAACCCAAACCATTCCATGGTTTTATGATCCTGTGCTACTGCTCTCTTGGAAAGAGAATTCTGACTGAAGAACATGCAGGACAGAGCACTCCTGGGATGCCACAGGGATATTTTGATACCAGTGTCCAGAGCTGCAGGGGCAGAGCTTCCAAGGGCTTGCATTCCCCATTTTTGGAGACAGATAAGTGATGAATACTGAGCATTTACTAGAGTCTTCATGTTCCCCCAGTTATAACTAAACCCTCTAACCAGTACAGCAACAAAGATGGACATCTCACAGATGTGAGGCATCACATCTGTCCATTTTCTCAGTCACACAGCGAGGAAACGCCAAAAAAAGAGCCTCAAACTCGTCATTAACTCCAACTGCAGGCCCGAGACCTTAAACTTGGCCAATTATCTTTAAATTTAGAAGTGTGAGGGGGTGTCTGAAAAAAAGCCACCATCAGCAACACAGGAAAACATTCCCTCTTCCCATCTCCAGTCCCTGCCTCCCCGAGTCTCCAGGAAGGATTAAACGTTGGGTGCTTTGCATAAGCAGTTCGTGTGCTTGGATTCATGCAAAAGGTGTATAAATCACAAATAAAAAACTTACCAGCCCTGTTCATTCTTATATTTGTAAGCAGCACCAAGAATGTGACATAATGTACCTCCAGCTTTGAAATCCATGAAGCACTTTGCCTGGAACCCAAAAAAACCACAGGAAATCACAGAGGTAGTGACTTACATGCAATTATTTTAAACAAATACACACTCGTTGGTTGTTTTAGACCTCTAACTTAGCAAACAAATAGGTAATTTTCAGATTAATCCCTTTTGGAGTTATAGGTTCTCCTTTAAGAATGTTTCATGAAGGTTAAATGCATTTGGTTGAAGCAGAATTCTTTGTATTTGCAAGCAGAACCTGATGTATCTGAAAGCTCCACATCCCTCCTTATAGGAGCAGCTTGACAAAAATTCCTTGTAGAGCTGTAAAAACCCAAGCTACTCTTTGAACACCCATTTCATAGCAAATTAAACCTGAAATCAGAGCTGTCAGTGAAGCAGTGAAGCATCATCTGCACCAAGGAGACCAAACCAAGTCATTAGAAATGAACTCCTGGAGCAGAGGTTCAGATATTTCACGTTCACAGCAGCTCCCAGAGCTCCAGTCACGTCCCTCCACCACCCAGAGCTGCAAAGGTCACCGGGCAGAGCTGCCCCAAAACAGCAAATCCAGCTCGTTTCTTCCCTCTCAGTTCCAGCAGTCACTTAATTCCCAACCAGGCACCAGGGGTTCCACAGCTGAGCCCCAAACAGCAGCAGGAGCAGGCTGGGAGCTGCTCAGCACAACTCAGATGCTCTGCCCACCTTCAGAGGGCTGTGCTGGGTAACAGCAGCTCCTTCACAGCCTGGAGCAGCACCTGACACTAAAGGTCTAAAAAAGCCCCTGCCAACCTCATCTGGGGGCACACAGTGCATTGCCCAGGAAAAAACACAAAGGAAGGGGCACTGATGAGTTGTCTCCTGTGGGAAGGAGCTGAGAGGACAGAGATCCAACTGCTCTAAACTTGAGCTGAGCAAATCTGACCAGATTACACCCTCGTAGCAGCAAGAACAAGCACAGGAACAGCATCTTTACGATGCCACTGCAATCTTTATTGCCCATTTTCAAGATAAGACAAAGTGATTTAAGGCTGGTGAGCACTCAGATGGTTTATCCACCTGTTGAACGGGGACAGTTTTATGGCTTATGCTGCCACACCAAAATAAAGCATCACAAAGTTCCCCTCTGTCCCTGAAGCTTTTTATCATCACTGAGCTATCAGACATTCCAGGAGGGATGGTGAGATAGATCTTACTGGCACCTCGTGGTGCTCCTGGGTGCTCTCCAAAGCACCAGGATACTCAGAGAATCCCAGGATGAGTTGGGTGGGAAGGGACCTTAAAGCTAACCCAGTCCCACCCCTGCCATGGGCAGGGACACCTTCCACCAGCCCAGGCTGCTCCAACCTGGCCTTGGACACTCCCAGGGATCCAGGGGCAGCCACAGCTGCTCTGGGAAACCTGTGCCAGGGCCTCCCCACCCTCCCAGCCAGGAATTCCTCCTGAAATGAACCCAAGAATTGTCCCAGGATTCACCCCGGGGGTTTGAAAACTCCTGTGAGGAGAACTCACCCAAGTGACCCCCCCTCTGAGGGAGTGACAGAGGCAAAAGGTCTGGGGGAGGAACCCCCAGGGAACAATAACAGACAGCATTCCATGGCTGGTGGAGCAGGGGCACAGGAGCATTTGGAAGTGTTCAGCACAGCTCCAGGGCAGTGTCTGAACTGGCTGTAAATGCTCCACCACCCCCTGTCCCCTCCCCAGGGCCTCAGAGACCAGCACAGCCCCTCCTGCTGATGCCACGACACCTCACACATGTATGACAGCTGTCTCAGCCTCCCCCAACCAGCCAGCTGGGCCCTTGGCACCACGTGCCCATCCCTGCCCTTCCCTGAGATCCCCCTGTCCTTCCATCTGCTGCACCCCCCTCCCCTCCAGCCCCTCCTGCACCTCACACTCCCCAGGAAAGGTCCCTTTGGTGCTGGGCACGGCTCCAGCTGGAATTTTAAATAAACAGCTCTTACAGTATGTTGATATTGTTTCCAGGTACCAGTATCCCCAGGGACTGGAAAACTATCTGAGGTAACTAATTACATGATACTCCAGACCATGGGAAAGTCGTCTTTCAGCCTTGGCACCGTTACAAGTTTGAAGTTTAATCAACAGAAATGCCCGAGGGGAGCCTGTTTGCTTTGGAAAGTGCATTTTATTCCCTCAGTTCAGGGTGCACCAGTCCAGATTTGACTTAGAACTGAGGAATCACATCAAATTTTAGTAGAAATTAAAATCTTCTCGTAGCATTAAGGAATTACTTCAAATATATAGAGAATAAGCTGCATTACACTGAAAATCTGCTTTTAAGGAGGAGTGTGCTGCTCCAGCCCTGCCAGGGGCTGAATCCCAGCTGGAGCAGGGCTCTCCCAAAGCCCTGGATGCAGCACAGGCTGCAGAGGGAGCACAGCAGGGTGAGAGCCCCGATACTCACAGGAAGCTTTGTGAAGGCAGGATTGGTGACATGTTTTCCAAAGGCATCTTCCTGGAACTGCAGCAGCTGCACCACCAGCCCAGCCAGTGTTTTATTGGTGGGAGCATCTGCCTGAACGTACTGAAAGACAAAAACCACGGGTTTACTTGGGGCAGAGGGAAATAAGGCCTGAAGGTGCTTCAGTAACACGCCAGGTTATCTCAGCAGTTGTAGAGCAGGGTTTGAAGATTTTGGGATCCCTGTAAGGCTGGGAAGAGGGTAAAGGACGGGGTTGGCAGAGAAGAAGCACCAAGCACAAGCATTTTCCAAGCTTTAGGCTTAAAATCCAGCACCTACCTGTGGATCATCCCCAGCTCCTCCTGTGGCAGACACAGATTAACTCCAAGCTCATTTGTAGTTCCTAATAAAGGAACAGCCTAACTCTGCCCCCACACACAGAGCTCTCTGCAATAACTTCCCAAGATCCTTCTGGAACCAAGTACTAATGAACCCTCAGAGCATCCAGTGGTACAAAGAGAAAATCTGGGCCAGACAACTCCACCTGCAATGTTTTGGGACAATCTGGGCAGTTCCCAAGGTTCCACTGCCAGTAAAATGTAAATAAAACGTAAATACAAAAGGGGAAATCACAGCATGAAATATAAAACAACCCCACCCAGCAGATGAGTTTTTGTTATTCCTGATGTCCAGTATCCACTCACTGAACACCATCTCCTCCATGTGCCAGAAGACTTCCAAGGGTAGAGCAAACACCCCTTTTCCAGGCAGAACATGGAGCAACATGAGCCACCCCAAACTTTCACCTGGGTAACTCTGAGCCTTTGCTCCTCCCTCAAATCAGGTTTTCTGAAGCCCTTTAAAAACCAGTTTTAAGAGACAGAACCCTCAGAACTTTGGAGCAGTGGTTTAAATACCAGTCAAATCCAAGTTTTCCACAGCACCAGCTCCTAAGCCAAAGACACCACAAAGACATTGACTTTTCCATTGTCATTTTACAGGATTTGACCACCTTGGGATGCAAGTTCCTTCAGTGCTTTCTAAGGAGCTGACAGACACATCTGAGACTTTAAATCTTTGCAATGGAAAGGACACAAACCCCTGTGGGGCTGCCCAGGTGTCCCACACTGGGCATAAAACCCCACCTAGAAACAGGAGCTGGTGAAGAACACGAAAATTCCAAATGCCTTCTCCTTGGCCTGTTCCCTCCCCTGGGAATTAATGCTTTAATTATGTCAGAAACACAGAATATCCTGAGCTGGGAGGGATCCACAGGGATCACTGAGTCCAACTCCTGGCCCTGAACAGGACTTTGGACAAGGGATGGAGGGACAGGACACAGGGAATGGCTTCCCACTGCCAGAGGGCAGGGAGAGATGGGAGACTGGGAAGGAATTCCTGGCTGGGAAGGTGGGGAGGCCCTGGCACAGGTTGCCCAGAGAAGCTGTGGCTGCCCCTGGATCCCTGAAAGTGTCCAAGGGCAGGTTGGACGGGGCTTGGAGCAACCTGGGCTGGTGGAAGGTGTCCCTGCCCATGGCAGGGGTGGGACTGGGTGATCCTTAAGGTCCCTTCCAACCCAAACCATTCTGGAATTCTCTGAACCTCTTTCAATAAACCAAACCCAGAAGGGGTGACATCCTTGTATGGACTTACTCTATTCTTTTCAAATATTTTCCTTCAGAAAAAAAAAGGAAAATTCCATGAGAAAACACCTTGCAAAGCCTGTTCTTACACATGTGAAATTTTTTCAGGCATTTATTCCTTTACTCACAGATCCTATTTTTCCCTCTTGCAGGAGGCACCAACAGCTGGAAGCTATAAAGGAAGACAACACCAAGAACTCCCCATCCTACTTTGCCACTATCCTGCACATCCTTTTTATGGGAAACCCATTATTTTGCCTGAGGTTTCCCCTACACAAAAAAGAAAAAAAAAACCCTCAATAGGAAGCACAAGACTCCTCTCCACCATTTCTGCCCAGAAACGAGCAGCACAAACGGATCTTTAGGCAGCAAGAGGAGGCAGAGGATCCCTGATCGGTGCCCAGGGGATCCAAGGGGTCACAGAGGACCCAAGTCCCAGCAGATCCCCAGGTTTTCCAGTCATCTCCACAGAAGCAGGAGATGATTCTGCAGCAAATAAAGGTTTTTAAGCAGTGAATTCCAGAGGACAGAATGATGCCCTGTTCCATTTCTGTGAGGTGCCAAAGCCCCATGGACAACACAGCAAAGGGTTTCCCAACCCTTCCACGACAGTTAGAACCCCCCAAACCCCCCCATATGCTTAAGCAGAGGAAATCCCTTCTCCAGCCAGACCTGCCACTGCAGCTGCCCTGGAAAGCCTCTGTCACTGAGGGAGGGACAGATCCCTCAGCCAGCTTTGCTGTGGTCACTGACCTCAAATAACCACCCAGCGCTCTGTGCTGGGCCCTGATGCACCAAATCCCTTCCTTCCCCCAAAACAAAGAACACTTCAGCTCAGAGCACCAAATACCAGAGAGAGGAAAACCAACGTGACAATACTTTGATTTGGGTTTATAACCCTTGTTCCCTTTTCAAAGGTGAGACAGAAAAGAGCTGCAGAGACACAAAACCCTCCCTCAGATGGAACCAGAGTCAGGCACCGAGGAAACACTTGCCAAGGACAGCAGAGCCAGGCACAGGGAACTACAAATCCCCTCAGTTCAGCCCCTGGCTGGGGGAACAGGCAGGTGGGCTCCAACCAGACATCCCAGATGGAACAGCTGCCACTTCCCAACAGCTGCCAGGAACCAGCTCGTCCCCCTCCTGAGGGCTATTCACAGAAGGGAGGAATGGCATCCCACCAGACACACTCCAGGGGCATCAGCCCAACCCCTCACAGCAGCAGGAGCCCCAGGAACGTGGAAAGAACCCCCTGTGCCAGTGCAAGGGGGTGCCAGATACTCCCAAACCATCCCGAGCTCCCAGTGATGGCACCTGGATCCAACGGCACCGTCATTCCCTCTAGCTCAGCCCTAACACAACGTTCCACTTGCTCCTTAAAAACCCAAACACCCTCCTCCCTGCCTCCCAAAAATCCCCTTCCCCAGCCTTCTGTCTCCGAGGGGCAGGGATTCCAGAGGCACTGAGCAGCCCGAGCTCCCAGGGGTCGGTGCACTGACCTGGGTGTGAGCAAGGCCCCGGGAGCAGGGCTGGAGGCCTGGGGCAGTGTCTGCACCCCTCACCATGCCCGTGCTAAAAAACCTCCCAGACTACCTCAGAAAGATGTTTGAAGTGCAAGAAACAACTCTGCTTGGTGACAACCCATTTTACTAGGACAGATTTGTGGCTTAATGAGAACAGAACTACTGAAACAACACACAATATTAGAGATGAGCATAAATAGAATAGACAGTAATTGCCCAGTTTAGTTGTGAACTATGAATTCCTAATGAACTGTGGTCTTCCACACCACTGCTAAAACCTCTTACTTTTTTAATTATACTCCAGAGACACAAAGAAGCCTCCAATACTCATTACTTTCTAGAGACACAAAGAACTCTCCAACATTTGTCATTTTCTAGGGACACAAAGATCTCTCCAACATTAACGACTCCTCTAATCCAGAGAACAAGAACAATTGCAACTCTCTAACTCTCTCCTTGCCCAGTTGTCCTTCTGGATCCTTGACCAAGCTTGGTGCTGCTCTTGGAATTCTCTCCAACTGGTCCCCAGTGTCCCTGGAGCTCCCAGAGCTGGACACACCAACTCCCACTGATGGCTTCAGCACAGAGATGGCCAAACACCCATTTTTAGGAGTATGAGCTGGACAAAAGTCACTTATAATCACCATGTCCCTCCCTGGAAAAGCCACACACCCACAGGAGGATGAAAACAGACACGAGATGGCCCAGAGTCCTTTCACTGCACATCCAGAAAGGAATCAACCCTTCCCTCTGGAGCATTAAGGCTAAATCTGGTAGCATGAGCTGCCTCGTTTCCCACAACTAAAATTATGTTCCATTTTTAAAAAGGATTTTCACAGCAAAATCCTGAAATCCGCTTGCCTCGTAAAGATTTCTCCTTACCCCAACTCTGACCACCTTCCAGAATCGACAGAAATGAGTATCTAAACTTTATAACCAATTTTAACGGAGGAGTTTCCCCTGCACACAAAAAGGAAGCTCCATCCCTGCCCGGGCCAGGACGCAGGAACAGCCCCGGGGGTGGTTTGTGGCCCCAGCCAGCCCAGCTCAGGGGTCAGGGAGGTGCTGGATCCCCCGCAGAGCAGCAGGACTGAGCCCGTTCCCAAGGTGTGCTGTGCTCCCGGGGGGCTCAGCCACGGGAATCAAACACAACGCGGCTCCTCTGCGGTTTGGAGCAGCAGCAAAGCGGCTCCAAACCAGAGCCCAACTCCTGAAACCTCCTGTTCCATTTCCTCCTCCACACAAAGAGCTCCAGCTGCTGGTTCAAGCTGCAGCTCCGACCGTCTGTGGCTGCTGGAAGGAGCTGGAAGGACCGGAAAAACACACCTGAGCCTGCGCTGCTTCCAGCCCAGTTCACATTCCCGGCTCGGATTCCAGCTCGGGGCACACAAAGAACCCAACCCACAGCCACGAGAAAGCTCGTCCAAGGGCCGCTGACACCGGACACGTCGAGGAGCGGCGGGATGGCCCCAAACCCGGGTAAATCCCGAGATTAAGGCACCTTTCGGCTGCCCAGCATCCCCTCGGATCCAGCCAAAGCTCCTCCGGGATCGCTACACCGCGCTGTAAACACGCCGGGAAGTTACGTCGGGCGGGTTTTCAAGGCTCGGGTGTTGAAAAGAAGTTACAAAATCATCACACGGGAAAAAAAAACAAACAACCAACAAACACTTAAAGAAAGCGAAGGAACAGCGCGCGAAGTGCGGGAGGGAGGAAGAGGAGCCCGAGGGCAGCGGAGCGAGCGGAGCCGCTCCCGCACCACCTGCCCGGAGCCACGCGCGGGGCTCGGCGCGGCTCCGAGCGGCACAGAACGGCCTCTCGGTCTGTTTTCTCTGCCCTTTCTCCAGCTCCCCGACACCTCCCGGGCGCGGCTGGAGCGAAACCGAGCGGGGCCGGGACCTGCCCGCGCAGGAAAGTCACGGCCCCGGGGCGAGCGGGCACCGGGGGACACAGACACGGCCCCGGGGGCGCGGGGAACGGCCCCGGGGCTGCCCCCGGCACGGCCTCGCGGTCCCGAGCCTCCCGTCCCGTCCCGTCCCGTCCCGTCCCGTCCCGTCCCGTCCCGTCCCCCGGGACCCCCCGCCCGCCCCGCCCGGTCCCCGCCGCCCCCGCCGGGCCGCACCTTCTTGTAGTGCTTGCCCAGCCACACGCGGACCGAGTCGAGCTGGGACACGGTGTCGGGGCTCTCCCAGAACTTGCCGGCGGGCCCGCCGTCCTTGCGGC